TGATTCCTTAATGTTGTGAAACTTTCAGCCACCATGTTTAGAAAGATATGAGTTTCCTTGTTCTACTTTCATCCATGTGTAAATAGATAGGTTGATTTTCTTGTGTGAAAATCTAGTTTATTCCGGTTGATGTTGTGAAACTTTCAGCCGTGTTTTGTGAAACTTTCGGCCATGAGAAAGGTAGGAGTTTCCTTATTCTACTTTCATCCGTGTGTAAATAGATAGAAGTTGATTTTCTTGTGTGAAAATCTAATTGATTCCGGTTGATGTGAAACTTTCAGCTGTGTTTGTGATTCCTTAATGTTGTGAAACTTTCATCCATGTGTCTGTGTTTGTGATTCCTTAATGTTGTGAAACTTTTAGACATGTTAAGAAAGATATGAGTTTCCTTGTTCTACTTTCATCCGTGTGTAAATAGATAGGTTGATTTCCTTATTTGAACAAGTTCATTTACAAAAAAATGGATTAAAAGAACATGTAAAAATCTAGCTTTCAGAATTGACTAAAAATTATAATTACAAAATGTCAAGTAAAAAGCTCTTAGCGTTATTGCTAAGAATTGCATATTTTCTTTTGCTAAAAATTTTTTATACAATTTTCCTGACTTTAATTTTTTTGACTTCTTTGATTATTGCTATTTTGATTTTTGCATCTTCGATATTAATTTTGAATATGATTCCGATTCCATCTTTCTTGTTGTTCTCTGGTTTTGTTGTAGGGTTTTCCGTATTATTTACGAGTACTATCTACAAATCCGAATCCATTTGCTCAGATAATACGATACGTTCATCAGAACGAAAATTAATTCAACCTATCTTCATTGAGAATATCTTCAAATTTTATTTATCTAGAAACAAAGTCTTTTTTAATTCTGAATTTTTGCCTCTTTCTTACTTCAATACTACAATTTCCTCTTTTTTATTTAAAATAAAAATTTTTTTAACTAATTCAAATCTAAAAATCGTGAAAAAACTTTTTACTTTGCAATATTCTTAATGCTTTATTATTTTACGCATAGTGAGGATGTCGATAAATCATTAGTTAAAGATCAACTAAATGAAGATATAGATGAACTTCAGATAGAATCCTTAAGCGATCTTAAGGATGACATAAAAAGATTAGGTCTTTCGATAGAACACTTTCATGATTTCACAATTAAGGATAAACAAAAAAAATCTTAGTTGAATCATTTAATTGCTATTTGGAGAAAGACCAAATAAATGCTAAAAACTTGGATATAGATAGTCTAAATATACACAAATTTTTAAACCAGGTTACCGAGCAACACAGTCCACTATGTAATAATAACCTGGAGATAAATGATTTACAACGAAAAAATTTAGCAAATCTATTCAATCATCTTTAGTACTTCTTTAAAGTATTGCAGAATAAAAATGATCATAATGCTCAACTAAATGAAATTAGAATGCAAGCAGTTGACCTTGGATTATTCTATATTTATCAAAGAGATAGAATGATTGGCGATGAAATCTTTAGAAAAGCTATTAAGAAGAAAGAGGATTGGCATGAAGTAAACAAACATTGGTTAATAATTTTTGCATTTTTTATAAAAAAAACATCAATGGACAAAGGTTAAAAATAGTTTGGGGTATTATTTTCATTTTCAAAAAAAAAAAAAAATTATTCATCACCAAAACTCGAACACTGAAATATTTATTTATATGTTGCGAAATCAAATTGACTAAATACTTTGTCTTAATTCTGTAGCTTGAGAGACATGTACTTATTTTCTACTACAATATGTTCCATTTCATCGAACATCAGAAATATTTGTGATCTGTGGAAACTATTATTTAGATTAAGGTTATATTTTTCCTTTGGATTTTGCTGTTTATTTTTTGCGATAGCAATAAAATATTCTTGATCTAGTGTACATTAATAATATAGGTCTCCAAGAGGAAGTTTTCATAAGTTTTCATAACTAATTGCAAATTTAGGCAGATTTAGTTTCTTACTAGCACCATTAACAAGGTTTTTTGACAGAGTATCTAATTGTTCATACTTGTCAAAAAACTGTGTTAAAGCCTCGTTAAAGTGCTAGTACAGTAAGAAACTAAATCTGCCTAAATTTGCGATTTGCTATGAAAATTTCCTCTTGGCGAATTATATTATTAATAATATACACTAGATCGAGAAAATTTTGTCACTATTGCAAAAATAATTTTAGCAAAGTAACTCTTTCAAAATGAACTTTATAGCAACAATCTAAATATTTACAAGTCTGGTTAGATGACGAGGCTCAACCACTTTTCCACTTTAGAATTCTTTGGTACGAGATGATTGGAGCTGATAGTATTTGATAAGTTCTTGAGATTTTTTTGTTAGTCAGAATTGTTGGTGAAATTTTCATAGCAATTCTCTCATGAGTTATTCAACATTGAACAATAGTTTTAAGCCATTATTTAGTCAATTCTTATTTATTTATTAATCATTCGTCTTTAACCCTACTTAATTTTGACCGGTATCCTTTACCATATGTGTTCATGCGATGTAATTATTTCATCGTATGTGGTCATGCAGTGTAAATATCCTTTACCCTATATGATTAATACCTTAGCTATTTTTGTCAGTTTGTGTTATTTTCATGCAGAGGATCGTCAAAACAATTTCCTCGCAATACCTTAAAAAGGAA